AACCAAATACAGAGTCCAACAGGCTCTGACGTCAGAAGTCAACCACGCCTCCACCCCACCCACAAACACCTCCCTGCTGCAGAGGGGGGATGGGGAAGAAAGGGATGTCTGCGCAGGCGCAGCGCCTCTCCATCCCCACCGCATCGCCCCCTCCCCCTCCGTCTTTTTCTGCAGCATCAGTACCACTCCCCCCCCTTACCTCCTCCTCTCCACCCCTCGCTCCGCTCCGCTCCTGCTTCTTTTGCGCGCTGCGGGGCCACACTGCGACCGCACCGAGGAAGAGGAGGAAGAGGAGGAGGCGACGACGGAGGACAGGCGCCATTTCCTGAGCATAGCAGCACAGTAGGATACGAGGAGGAGCAGGAGGAGCAGAAGAAGGAGAAGAAGGAGCGGTAGAGGAGGAGGAGGAGGTGTGGAATAAAGAGGGAAGAAAAAAGCAGCTAAGCGGCAGCGGCAGAAGACGGAGACGCGTCACACCGCGCCGCGCTCTTCCTCTCCATCAGTTCAGTGAAGTGAAGACCACAGAGGAGGTGGAGGAGGAGAACCTGAGCAGGAGTTCGGACACGAAAACGAGTAGAGACAGGGTGTCGGAAAACCTCCCCCCTCCCACCACCTCCCCTCCTCTCCAGCAGCAGGGCCGTATCTCTGTTTGTTGTAGCAGCAGCAGCCAACGCGGCGCGGCGGCGACACCATGAAGGACCGCACAGCGGAACTGAGAAGCGTAAGATTTCATTTTGGAATTTGAATTTTTGACACTGTATGTTGCTCGTGTTTCTGGAGGGGCATGAGGAGGAGGAGGAGGAGGAGGAGGAGGAGGAGGAGGAGGGGGAGGAAGAGGAGGAGGCGCCAGGGCTACTGCCCGCTGCTGCGGCGGCGGCAGAGATTGCAGTGTGATGTGAAATGGAGTCTCTCTCCCTCTCTTCCCCTCTCTCACTTTTTCCCCCTGTTGGTGGTGGTGGTGGTGGTGGTGTGTGTGTGTGTGTGTGTGGGGGGGGGGTGTTCGGTTTCGGTGCACGTGGAGGTCACGGTTTCTCTGTAATGGCCGCTCTATCAGACGCAGAGCGTTTTCCTCCGCATCTGATTAGTTTAAATAAATAAATAAATAGATAGATAGCACCCCCACCCGTGCCTGGATGACCTGATGGGAAGAGATGAAGAGGAGGAGGAGGAAGAGGGGGAGGAAGAAGAGGGGGAGGAAGCTAAAAAAAATTGCAGTATTTTTGAAGCCGATCAAAAGCCTCACCCTTTTTTTTTATTTTTCCCAGACCATGACTCTGCACCGGGTCACAGTGAAACAGGGTGACGCTGCTGCTGCTGCTGATGGTGCGGAAATGACAGAATGAGTGTGTGTGTGTGTGTGTGTGTGTGTGCAGAAGGGTGGAGGGAGGGTGGCTGCTGCTGCTGGGGGGGCTCAAATCATCTGCAGCAGCACCACCCGGGTTCAACTGGGTCCATCCATCCATCATCCATCCATCGTCAGTAAAATCATGATCAGTAAATCACCAGATGAATGGAGTGTGTGTGTGTGTGTGTGTGTGTCTGGACTTTACCGCACTGCTGTCCTTCCTCCTCCTCCTCCTCCTCCTCCTCCTCCTCTATCAACATCCCTCCATCTTTTCTACTGCAATGTGTTCCTAATCCCAGAATTTCTCAACTTTGGTTCCCATCATCATCATCATCATCATCATCATCATCTTCCGTCCATTTGCTCTTCAGCCATTCAGTACAACCCCCCCCCATAACACACTATCTGAAAGTAGCATCCATTCATCCATTCATCCATTCATCCATCCATCAATCAATCGATCGATCTTTTGTGCCGTCAATACAACCAAACATCCATCCAGAAAATGTTGAAAACACCCAGAATCCTCCTCCCCAGCAGACAAAAGAAGGGAGGCCGCTAAAGAGGAACTAGCAGCTAGCAGGGTGGCTAATAGTGTTCAAACATTTGTTCCATAACAGGTTTTTTTTGGGGGGGGGGCAGGAGGGGCAGCTTGCTAAAAATCTGTGATTTGTACGTGAACAAAAAAAAAAAAAATCCCAAATTTTTCTCAATTGACTTTTGTGCATTTTTCACCTTCATCTGTTGAGCCTCCGGCCCTGACCCCTCCCCCCCCCCCCCCCCCCTGCTGATGTCACTGTTGGTTCAACACCCACATGAAGCACACAAAGACAGTCAGGTTTTAAGGCAAGTTGCCAGTCTTATCTTTTATTAGCAGCAACAATTGCTAGCCTGTGTTATAGTGCCCCTGGTGGCAAGAAAAAAAAGGGGGAAACTGTGTCAAGTGTCCTGGTAAAGAGCTTTAAAATTTAATTTAATGACACTTTTACCCTTTAGCTCCTTGGTTATATTTTTCACACGCCCACATTAATGTACCAAATGTTGGGTTTTTATGTTTTTTTTAAAGATTTTTATTCATAATTTTCTTATTTCTAACAGCACTTTTGAAAACACTCCAGTCTTTTCTGTCCCATCTTGGTGAAAAGTTCTGTGACAACGTTTGTCGTTCATCGGTTCTCGTGTTGCTGCTCACCTGCTCGTTGAGTTTTTCGCCTCACTTTACTTCAACTCCAACGTTGAACAAACCAGACGGAGCTCAAACCTGGAGTTCACGTTGTCCTGAAGTCGAAAGTCACTCTGAAGTTTTCTTCTTCGGAGTTGAGTCAACAGTTAGTCTCCCTGATAGTCCCACCTCCTGAGAGTTCCATCCTGGTTCTGTTTTTTTTTTTCCTTGTAAAAGACCAGCCCTGAGACTCGGAGCCAGACTGTGATTATTGTCATTATCATCACTGAGCGCAGAGAGCTGGACTCCAATTGACCAATCAGGAGTTATTTTCTTATTTTCTCTGATGCGTGTGAAAAACCTACATTAGATTTAGGTCACTGTCACTCACACACACACACACACACACACGTGCACCGTCTCCTGGGAACACGAAGTAGAATCAGGGCATCTGAATGTTTCAGGAACAGGAAGTGGATGTTGACTGTTGTTTGGTTTTAGTTAATTTTACATTTTTCACCAGTTAAAAGCTGGAGTTTCAGTTTTAGTTTTTTTTTTTTTTTTTACATTTTAAATTATAAAAAACGTTTTCTTTCACTTTGCCTGAAATGTGACCTGTCGTCACTGATTCCCTGTTAGCTTGTTAGCTAGCTGCGGCTCCTGTGTCTGTGCGATGTGGCTGTCGCCGACCTGCTCCACCTGCAGTGTTCTCAGTGTGAGCTGCAGGCGTTTTTTCAGATGATGAGGTTACACCTGGATTGTTTCTGGAGGAATCTTTGGAGTCGTAATTCGTTGTGAATGAATGAAACAGAGAAGGAAAAAAAAAACAATAAATTAAAACCGCTGTCATTTATTAGCGTTCTTGCTGCAGCACAGCTAAAGGCCTACTTGACTTTACGCCCTCTTCCACTATTACACTGTAAAAAAAAACAAAGGGTTTATGCAAATGTGCTATTTATATATTTATTTATTTAAAATCCTTATTTATTATTTATGAATTCATTTTATTGAAATGCACGTTTCCACGGCGATGCCCTCGTCCTGTGACGTCAGGCTGCTGCACCTCAGTTCAGTCTGACTTCAGGTGGTTTGTTTTTTTTTTTTTTTTGAGTGGTCTGGATTTTCGACCTCCAAGAGAACAACGGTGCTGAGTCTGTGTTAGCACGTGGTAGAGTGTAGCTGCTAACAGCTAATGCTAAAGTTACCAACACGTTGCCTCGCTGGTACTGTTACTGTTACTGGTACTGTTACTGTTACTGTTACTGGTACTGTTACTTATTGCACATTTCTACTGCCTTAATGTTCCCTTTACTGTTGAAGTTGAAACTTTTATTTATTTATAAACTATTTATTTCAACTGTGTTGTTTCTATATGGAATTCTCTGGTCTAGATGATTTACATCGGCTCTGGTTTATTCATTATTAGTCCTTTGAAATCTACCATGTCATGTTAAGGTGTTCATGGGATTGACAACATAGAACCAAAGGTTGACTGTAGCCGCTAACGTTGACTGTAGCCGCTAACATTGAATGTAGCCACTAACGGTGAATGTACCGCTAACGTTGACTGTAGCCGCTAACGTTGACTGTAGCCGCTAACGTTGACTGTAGCCGCTAACGTTGACTGTAGCCGCTAACGTTGACTGTAGCCGCTAACGTTGACTGTAGCCGCTAACGTTGACTGTAGCCGCTAACGTTGACTGTAGCCGCTAACGTTGACTGTAGCCGCTAACGTTGACTGTAGCCGCTAATGGTTAATGCAGCCGTTATTAGTGAAAAACAAAATGACACACATTCTCATTCCTTTCTTCATTAGTTGCTGCATAATTATATGGTGAAATTAAAAAAAAAAAAAAGCCAGTGAGCACAAAGCATGGGGCGTTTATGGAAAACTTGGACATCTCTGTGTGTGTGTGTGTGTGTGTGTGTGTGTGTGTGTGTGTGTTTAGTGGAAAAATACAGTCTGAAGGTGAATGTGTGTGAGAGAAGGGAGCACAGATGGATGCTGGGTCCAGCTTGATGTCCTAGGGGATTCTGGGTAACACTGATCACTGCTGGCACCGCGTGTGCGTGCGTGTGTGCGTGCGTGTGTGTGTGTGTGTGCACACACACTCACACTGATACCACCTGACATCATGCTGATCTAAGTCTGGCTGACATGAGAGGAGAGAAGGGAAGGATAAAAGAGAGAAAAACACAAACAGGTTCAACTCACCACAGAACTGACTCAGGTCCTGCTCCAGGTCTGGTTTCATCGTTCATCAACCGCCGGGTCATGGACCTCTTCATGGCCACTGGTCCTCCGACACTGTGCTGCAGAGAGGAAACACACAAGATGTTATTTTTATTTCATTCACCATCAGTGAAAAATATTTTATTCAACCCATATCATCAAGTCTTTCTTTTAACTATTTTAACCCCTCGAACCCTTTCAGTAGAATAGCTAACGTTCACTGTTAGGGTCCGTTTGACCCTGATGACCTCTACGGTCATGTAGTTTAATATCAGTCCTATCATTTTATTCTCTCCTGCTTTATTACCTCGACAACTGGAAACATGTCATGTCTGACAGGAAACTGGTCTATGGATCAGAAGAGGTCGTGACCTCTCTGTTATTGTGACCAGGAAGTACAACACTGGTTTTATAAACTTACAGGATTGTGTTTATTGATGAACAGACGGGGATTTTTATTTTGAAAACAGATACGACAACATGTAGGGGGGAAATAAAAAATGATTCAGACGTCATAAATTAAAGCTTTTATTTTGGCAGCAGCCGTGCCATGTTTCAGTGTAAAAGCAGAAAATGCATCAGAAACATGTGATGCCAATGTTATAAAACCAACGTCATCCTCCTCTTCCTCCTCCTCCTCTTCCTCCTCCTCTTCCTCCTCCTCCTCCTGTCAGCTGTTTGTGTTCTTTGTCGATGACTTCATTTATTGACACCTTTTGACTCATTTGACCTTAATATTTTCAGTGGAGGATCAGAGGGATCGCTCTCTCTCCCTCTCTCTCTCTTTCCCCTCCCCCATCATGTATGTAAGGCTCACTCTATCGTCACCCATCCCCCCCTGCACTCCATCCCCTCCCCCACCCTCTCCCTCTCTCCCTCAGTCTCCTCACACAGACTCATATTTTGTAACGCCGTCTCACGTTAGACCTACTGGGTCGAACCTGGACCCAAACAGACCTGCTGTAGGCCCGGTCGGTAAAACTGAAGAACTGTCTGCTCTGTCGCCCCCTGCAGGCTAAGGACAGTGATGATGACGAAGAAGTGGTGCAGGTCGACAGGGACCACTTCATGGATGAGTTCTTTGAACAGGTAACACATGCAAACTAGGGAGGTCCGATGGTAACCTTTTTTTTTTTTTTTTTTGCCGATATCCGATACGCCAATATTGTCCAAACACATCATTTCCAATTCCGATATCAACCAATCCCAATAAAGAGGGCCAGAGGCGGCTCGGTGGTTATGGACGTTAAGTCCCGCCTGCTCACGAAGGTCATGGGTTAAAGGACTGTTTCTCTGCCATGGCCCCTCTAAGGGGATCCCCATCCCAATGCTGCCATCTAGTGACTTTCACGTTCATATACAGCGGTTTTTCCCCCAAAACTATTTTTAGAGCAGATTATCAGGTTTTTATTATTGGAGGAAAAACTGATAACGATTCTTACAGATGTTACATAATGATGCTAATATCAGGCCGATAAATATCTGTCGGCCGATAATACGTACAAACACACACATATACACACAAATACCTGATGAATACGTCAACAATAAGACTCACAACTACTGTGTCTTTGTGAAGTAAAATCCCTGATTTTCTCTACAGACGTTTAGTATTTCCTCAGAACAAAAGTTGATCTGTGTGTGTGTGTGTGTGTTTGTGTGTATTTGTGTGTGTGTTTGTGTGTGTGCAGGTGGAGGCACACACAGGCTGCATAGAAAAGCTGTCTGAGGACGTGGAGCAGGTCAAGAAGCAGCACAGCGCCATCTTGGCTGCACCCAACCCTGATGAGAGTGAGACATGTGCACACACACACACACACGCACACACACACACACACACACATAAATCTGGCTGTAAATATTCAGGTAACCAAGCCCGGGTTGTCAAACTGATTCAAACCACTGTTTGTGTTTTATTATAAATGTTTTATTTTTCTGCATGTTTTCTGTTTTTGTTGAGGGTTTTTTTCTTTGATGATGATGATTTTGTTTTTCGCTTTTTCTTTTCTCTTATTTTATTTTCCTCATCTTCCTCATCCTCTTCATCCTCTTTACTTCCTCTACTCTCGTCTCCTTCCTGTTTGCCACTTCACTTCCTCCTTCCTCTCCTCTGTTCTTTTCTTCCTCCTCTCATCCTCCTTCTGTCTGCTGCATGCTGCGTGTTGTCTTAAACCTGCATGATGTGAAGCGTATCTCAAAGGACGCACATGAGTGACAGCCCTACTGTCAGACCATGTGATCAACAGGTAAATATGACAACGTTATACCAAGTCACAGCGCTCAAAGTGTAAACTAAAATCTGTTGTTTTTCAGATTTGTACTGTAGTGACCAAACACGACCACATGAAGCGCAACAGTGGTTCTCAACCAGTCTCTGTCA